AAGACTTCAGTTTTATCAGTGTTTAGCATGAGAAAGTTATTGTTTATCCAGAGCTTTAAATCAGAAATACAGTCGATTAGTGTATTGGGAGGGGAATCTGAGGGTGTGTGTGTACTGAGATATAACTGAATATCATCAGCAAAGCAGTGAAAATTAAGGCCATGGCTATGAATGATCTGGCCAAGGGGTGAGTTGTAGATTAAGATAAGTAAGGGTCCAAGAACTGAGCCCTAAGGGACACCACATGTAACAGGAGTGGTGGAGGACTTGTGTGGACCTAGTGTGATAAACTGCTGCCTGTCTGTAAGATACGACCTGAACCACTGTAAGGCTGTGTCAGTGATACCAATAGAGAAAAGATAAGAAATGAGAACATCATGATTAACAGTATCGAATGCTGCACTTAAGTCGAGGAGAAGGAGAATACTGAGAGAACCACTATCAGCAGACCGGAGAAGATCATAAACTACTCGCAGAAGAGCTGTCTCAGTGCTGTGGTGAGTACGGAAACCAGATTGAAATGGCTCATAGAGGGCATTATCACTGAGAAATGTCTGGAGTTGGGAAGCAACCACTCTTTCAATTACTTTAGCTAAAAAAGGAAGGTGTGAAATGGATCTGTAATTAGAAAGAGAAGTTGGGTCCAATTCAGGTTTCTTAAGTATAGGAGTAACTGCAGCAGTTTTAAGGGCAGTAGGAACAAACCCAGAAGAGAGACATGAATTTATCACTGTAGCAATTGGAGTGTTGATTACAGATGAACAGGCCTTGAGTAGAGGGGTGGGGGCAGGGTCAAGCTTTGTTTCCAAAGTAGGAAAATCAGTAAAGGCGAATGACTGAGAAGTAGAAGGAAAGAAACTATAGATCTGATTAATTTTCTTTTCAAAGGAATGTAGAAAAGCCTGACATTGCTCAGCTGAATGGGGGCATGCTGACACAGGAGGATGGAGGAGTTTGTTGACAGTTGGAAAGAGTGTTTTCGGCCTAGACTTAGCATTATTTATGATGGAGGAGTAGTAGTTGGAGCGGGCAGTATTAAGGGCATCCCTATACTTGTGGGTGTGTAGACTGTAAAGTAGAGAGTGGACAGTAAGGCCAGTTTTTTTTTATAAAGGCGCTCAAGACGCCGAACAATGGCCTTCAGTACTCTTAGTTCAGGGGTGAACCAAGGACACGAGCGGGTGGCAGGGAGAAATCTATTCTTAAAAGGGGCTAAATCATTAAGCAATCCAGAGATAGTGTCATTAAAGAGGGAAACCATACTTTCAGGGGTTGATAGGTTATGTAGGTCAGACAGGGCTGAAGACTGAAGAGAAGCAGCAAACATAATGAGACTAACAGACCTAATATCACGATAGACAACAGAGATTTTCTCAGAGGGGGGAGGAGTAGAAATATGAAAGCTATACTCAATGAGCTTATGATTGGAGATACCAGAGACTGAACCAGAGACAGAGATATCATTCAAACCAGTAGAGCAGAGTAAATCAAGAGCATGACCATGAGTGTGAGTTGGAAAATCAACATGCTGCATCAAGTTAAAAAAAATGTCCAAATGTTTGTGGACACCTGCTCATCCAAAATTTCTTCTGAAATCAATGGTGTCAATAAGTAGTTTGTCCCCCTGTGCTGCAGTAACAACCTCTACTTTGCTGAGAAAGCTTTACACTACATGTTGGTGACATTGCTGTGAAGATTTGATTGTATTCAGCCATTTATATCTCTGTTTTACTCTGAGGCACTGATGCTTGAAGCTGCACTATGTAAGATTCAGTTTGTTAAAACTGAAAGTAGCAGCATAATCGAGTCAGGAAAAAACATGCCAAAATATGGTGTCTGTGTGCTGCTGCGAGTCACCCTGTAATAGTAATTTCAGGTAAAGCCAGAGGCGTTTGGGTTGGATTTTGCGGGAAATTCATAGATCATATCTTATGCCTTTACGCATTAACGTCACATGCACAGGCTCAAAAAGAAGATCTGGCTTAATGTTTACAGATGAAGATATGATGACAATAGCAGCCAGTCCACATCATTGAAAGACACGCCCTTCAAGTTTTGACAGATTTCTCTTTGAATACTTGCAGTCTTGCAATCATCAAATTTATGCGCTTGGAGAAGGGGTCCAAAGCATAACCAACATCACAAAATTCTCTTCCACACATAATGCATAATTACACATTTCCACCAGAGAGGTCTCCAAATCCCCAAATCTTACATAGTGTAGCTTTAAGGCTGGACCTAACAGAAGGGATATTTACTGTATTAATTCTACATATAAATTGGACAAACAGTTTAGATATGTTGGGACTGAATAAGTCAGCTGACTCAACTATATTCTTTCAGACCAGTACAATTCTATAATACATGTGTATGCAGGGAATGAGTCTGATTATCACAGCCATAGTGCCAAATGCCACATATTATAGTAATTAGGCTTTATTTAAGAACTGAACATGTAGTCAGTGATGTTGACATTATATTACTGCTGCTGCTCCTTCAAAATGATCTATGCATCCAATGTGCAGGAGTCGGATTCAAGGAAGCTCTTTTAAGAAAAAACTTGCAAAGGTTCTTAAGATGAACACTAAGAAGTTCATAAGAATGTTCCTAAATGCAATTCTTGAAAAAACTTAAGAAGTTCTCAAATATTCTCTTAAGATATTCTTAATAATTATTTTTTTATGTAGGCTGCATTTTACCGCATACCATAGACGCAAGTTACATTTTGAATTTGTATTAACTGTTATTTTAATTTTTTAGTTAAATCTGCTCCTAGGAGCTAAATTGAGGAAAATCATCAAACCAAGCATTTAAAAAAATGTAGTAAACAAGAACTATAAGTGGAAAATACAGCCAACAGGTAAAAAATCCTTATTGGGAAATATGATCATTGTGGGGTGATGAACGAGGATGGAGCAGAAGGAGCAGAGGCAGTGTCCGTGATAAATTTAGATGCTTACCTTGTCAACTCTTACTGCCTAAGATGAGTGTAAGGCATAAGGTTGAGAAAAAGTTTAAGAAAATATGTTCAAAAATACCACTTGTTCTTATAATTATTCTTAAGAAAATAGTTAAGAAAAGAAAATAAGATCATTCTTAAAACTTTATTTGAAGAATAACAATTTCTCGTAACTTTTTTCTTAAGAATGAAGTTGAAAAAACACCCATTTAAGAATATTTTCTTTCTTAAGACTCTTTCGTGATTCTGGCCCCAGGTCAGTTTGCATTCTTAACTGCTGACCCTGACAAAACAGTTTTGAATGTTCACTGCATGTTTTGTTCTCAGTCAAATTATATGGCATGCATGGATGATCTTTTTGCTATGCTGGTAAAGGACATATTTATACTTTAAAAACATACACAGAGCATGAATATAGACACTAAAATGTTCCAGATGTGTATTTCAATACAAGCATTTAACACACATACACACACAAGTGCCTGGAGCATAGATTCAGGTTTTATTCCATTTTTCTCATTCTGTGCTCCAGACTCCAGTCATTCTGAGCTCCAGATGCCTTTTCTCTTTTTATAATCCCTCAAATCAGACAAGAAAAGAGAAGGGCAGTGCACTCGAGATATGTCAGGTGAAGTATGTAGTAATTCTTTGGGTGGTTCCTCAGTTTATGCACATGAAGAAATTGTTGTTGCATTATGTAAATATGTATACTTTCACTGATGAATGTGTTTGCAGGAGTCATTCTATTACTTCACCACGAGGAAACAGCTGAAGCTTCCTTTTGGGATAAATTCTTCTTCAGGAAAGTTCTTTAATCAGCATAGACAGTGACTCACGTGTGCAGACATTTCCCATGAAGAAAAACAGCACTGATAGTGCTGTGCACTCTTGGTCAAATTGGCCATTAATACAAGCTATTAATTTTTTTATATATAAATATATATAATAAATATAAATTTTGTATATATTAAATAATCCACTTGCATAAAAAAAGGAAAATCAAAGAAAGAGAAAAGAAAATAAATGAAAAAAACAAAACTAGAGTTCCAAAAATATTGAAGGATACAGTGAAAACGGGATTCCTTACAATTGCACAAGACTTAGTAGACCACTAAAACTGTCACTCAGATAAGCAGTACTTAAAGCTGTCATCTTTGAGAGAGAGGTGAAAATCAAGCTCCACTCTTGTTTCAAATCTGAAAAAATTGACAGGTGTTTCTGACCATCCTTTCACTGTGAGAAGATGACCCAAGGATGTGTAGCTGTCAAGAAGCTTTCACTAAGAAAAGGAAATAGACAAAAAAAATTTGCAAATCAATCAAAGAAGCTGTTGGGTGTTCTCAGAACAATGGACTGACCACCCCAGAGGCCAGACCTCAACATCACTGAATGTGTTTGGAATTACTTGAATTGTAAAAGGTAAAATTAACTAGTTTCTAAGACTGAACTTTGAAAGTAAGGACAAAATATCCCTGCCGAGCCAAAAAGTCTCCTGAAAAAAAAGAAAAAAACAGCAATTGTAATAAAGACAAATGTTGGACTAAATACTGATGCTATGAACAAAATCTCATATCTCCATAAAAGCAAGTTTTACAGGAGAAGGAAAAACGTTATTCACTTTCAGTGGAAGTTCATGTAAAAAGATATTCTTCTTAGTCATTTTTGAGCCTTTTCTATTGGTCCATTTGCCATGAAAGTTTAAAGAGAAGTTGGCATTTTCAAACTATATTAAAAAATTAATAATGAGAGAAAATGGAGATTAAAGGTTTTGTTGAAAAATGAATAACCTAATGGCCATTTTTACTAGAAATTCAAAAAATGAAGGCCGGACTGTGATTTGTGCACAGTGCTACACTGAAAAAAGTGGCTCGTCAGTTCAACCTAAAAACATTACTACATGTGGTAACAAGCAATTGAACTAGTTTTATTCAACTCAAAAATAACTTTGATTGAAGGAATCCTTCATTCAAAGTGTTTATTAAAGTTGAATAAAACTAGTTAATTGACTTGTTACCACATAAAGTAAATTGTAGGTTGAATTGATGAGCCATGTTTTACATTATACTTATGACAATTTAGCAAATAGAGTTAGTTAGTTAGTTAGTTTAGTTAGAAACTAAATTAGTGGCGACATGTTCGTCAGCGCAGGTGTGTTCGGTGCATAAACTGAGCCAAGCTGATCAAGTGTGGAACCGAAGGGTGCAGATTTAGGCACCAGTACTGTTTGATAAAAATGAAGATGACATGAATTAGACTTCTAATTATTTCATCTAGTGCACTGAGAATGAAGATGACGTGGCATCAAAGATTGTCTTGTTGTTGATCATGTTCCATACACTTTCAGAAAAACAAAGTACTAAACTGTCTCTGGGTGGTACTCCTCACGTCACTGTGGCAGTACCCTCAATGGTACCTTTATTTAGAGAAGATAATTGTACCGTATTTCATTAAAATTATATTTTTTTAAGCTGCACAGACTCCTTATACCCTGTCTTGACTCCAGGCTTTTTATTTTACTTTCTGTTTTGAAACAGGTTGTGAAAAGGTATGAAAACCTTATTTAAAGTAAACAACCAGACCTTAAGACCACTGTTGTAACTTTCAGAGTTGAATTTCATTGTTTATACCCCGATTAACAAAAATGTACCTGTATTGTTTTCTGACAGCGTAAACTTGTCATGTAGACTTATTGTTACATTTGGAATTGATTAAATTGAAAAAATAATAATTCAGTAATTGCTACCCCCTCAATAAATATCTTGTCTCATAAATAGGTGCGGTTATTAGATCCACCATTTCTTTCTAGATCCTTGCATTGTATGTTTTGTTTTTTTTCCCTTTAAACAAATAAAAAAATCTTAGTTGATGCAGAACCTCACAGACAGTGGTACTATTCTTGATCTGAATTCAATGACCACATTTAGAAAGCTCCAAAACTACTGATATGCCGTAGAGTTGAATTGTGTCTCAATCTCTCTGCTTTTCTCAAACGAGTGCTCCACAGACAGGTCTTCCTTGAGCTTATTCCTTTCACACACCAGGTAGATGGAATTCTCTGTGCCGTTATTTGGCCGAGATGCTTGGCAGGTCTCAGGTCTGCTGCACAGACGGAGAAGCTGCTTAACCTCCCGTTTGAAAGTCTTGCTGAAGGTGTAATAGATCAGGGGATTATAGACGGTAGAGGTCTTGGCAAAGAGGCAGGGCAGCATGCTGATATGAGGAGGGATAGAGGCACTTGAGGAGTAGATAGACCACAAGCTCACTATCCCATAGGGTGTCCAACAACCGAGGAACCCAACGCTGATCAGAACGGCGATCTGCACAAATGAGAAAAGATGACACGGTTAAGGATAATTTATCATTTATTCAAGGAACACAGAATGCCGTAAAACATCTACCTCATACTTCCACTCACTTTACAAGGTCCAGCTGTCTTAGTTGTCCACTATACATGTGTATGATAATGCAGTAGCCTAACTGTTCTCATGCACATTAAGTCATCCACCCTCTATACCATTTGTCAGAGTTCAGTGCTCACTGAGCATAGCACTGCAAACCTGTGCCTCATCAAATACACTATTCAAATCATAAGCTAACTAGCAAGACCTTTATGAGTTGAACTCTGATGGCCTGATGTACTAAGACTGTTATATTAGTTTCAGGTGCAAATCAGACCGTCTTGACTTGGGACTTAACTTGGGACTCGAGTGTCAAGACTTTCTTGTTACTTGCAACTTAGTGACTTGTTCCCACATCTGGTCACTGATTATATGAAGGCTAAAAGCTGAGATATAATGGTAGTGAGAGGATTTTGGGTGATTTTTGGAGCTGCATTACTGGCTGATGCTTGGTCAAACCTGAAAGAAATCATGCTGGTTAGTAATGGTTTGCTGTGATGTGTCGAACATGTTGCTGTTTTAACCCTTTGCTGGAATATGAAGGCTAAAAGCAGAGCCCTATCAGGATTTGGGTGGTTTTCCAAGCAGGATTACTCTCTGATACTCACTGACGTCATGGATTGAGCTCAATGGTATGGTACAGGCTAGTGAGGGCCGGGTCTCCTGAGTGTTCTGATATGCGTATCATGTTTGAAGCTTAAACTGTTCTGAAGTTGTGAAGGCTAGAAGGCAGCTATTCACGTTGCCTGCAAAATGTCAGCCTCAGGTTCTAATGTAAATGTGGCACTAAACAATCAGCAAGCATTAAACCTGGGATGACACTGATCATTTAAGACAATCGTCTTTAAAGAGAAAGAGGTGTGGATAAACTGTGGGGGGAACATTCTTGATATTAGACATTTCCAGCAATGCCTGATGATTAGGCACTTCAAACAAATGGGTAGAGCTTGTGCCATCATTCCACTATGACAAAAATAATGTTCAAAGGGCTGATATAGGGTCTGTGTTTGATGTCAATAAGTTAGTGTTCTACGCTCATAGAAGACAACCACTATGCACCATGCTGAACTATCAGACGATCTTCCTCTTTCATACAACAGAGGCTGCCTTATTAGAAACTAGTGAAGGAAATCTGTTCTACTAAAGTCTTTCAGAAGTTTTGGTAAAAGACCATGCAAAAAGAATGTCACATGCTACATGTTACATGATGCGTATCAAATTAATATAATCAAAATGAGAAGGGCAACACTGAGGTCTTGGAACAACTGAAGAATGATCAAATATTCCTCATAAATCATTATAGGATCATTATGGGATAGTTGCCGCGGTAGTTTAGCGGTAACACATTCAGCCCCGCTACATGAGGTTGCCGGTGTGATCCTCGCTTGGTGAGTCATTAGAGGCAGTTGTGGGTTGGAGGTTAGAGAACCAGCCTTGTGACAGGGAAGTCACTGGTTTGATCCCCTGAGCTGACAGGACATGACTGAAGTGCCCTTGAGCAAGGCACCTAACCCCCAACTGCTCCTTGGGCGCTGTGGATAGGGCTGCCCACCACTCTGGGCAAGTGTGCTCACTGCCCCCTAGTGTGTGTGCCTTCACTTGTGTGTATGTGGGCGTTTCCCTGCACAGATGGGTTAAATGTAGAGGTGAATTTCCCTGTTGTGGGATTAAGAAAGGGTAACTTAACTAGGTGTATGTATCTCTCTGGCTCACTCCAAGTTGACCTATCAGGTATACCCTCATAGTGTAGTTTTTAGAAGACCTGGGGTCTTCAGGTACGAACCTTAAATTTCCAGTCCTGGATTTTGTAATCATTCAGCGAATTGAACTGCTGATGTGATTAGTGTCATACTTGACTCTTTCATTAGCTGGATCAGGGGAGTTGAAGCAGGGGAAAACCTGAGACTCAGGACTGAAGCTGGGAAACACTGCTCTGTCACATAAATGAGCTACCAGTGATTACAAAATACATGACCAGAAATTAGATTCAAGGTCCAGAGCTGAAGACCCCTGGGCAATGTGATGCTTCACTTTACACTGTTAATGATGGGAGCGTAACATTGATATGTATTCATTTTAATATTAATAGACACATCTTAAGAATTTCATTATCACTGATTATTTATATGAGTTTGAGTGTTACGTGTCTAGTACAATTCAGAATTAGCTATCAATTGAGTTTAGGTCAGAGGACTGGTATGACCACTACAAAAGCGTCATCCTGTGGTCAGAGAGCCATTTTCTGTGGACTTAGGATCACTGCCACACTGGACGATCAATCCAGAATCTGGTTTCCTGGCAAAGGCACCAAGATTTTAAACTCCTGGTTTTGATTGAGTTCATGATGATGTGTGTCCTAAGAAGACTCCCAAGACCTTTGGAATTAAAACAAACCAAATCACAGATCCACCACCATACTTCACAGCAGAGACTATATGACTTTGACTTTTAAATGCTTCAAAAAGCTGTTTTTGTCTCATCTGACTATAGAAACCAGTTCTAATTTGTAGTGATGTTTAGTAAACCCTAAGCACTTACGTTTGTGGTTATCTTTAGAGAATGTTTTTCACCTCGAACCACCCTCCTCACCCTGCATACACTTGTTTCCTCTAGTAGGCAGGTTTGTCACAGTCGCAAATGTTTGAAATGTCTTAGTCACTGCAGTAATAGTTAAATATTTTTCAGATGTGAAGCTTTTTGATTGACTGTATGATTTATAAAGGTCTTTAGTCTCAGTTCTTTTGTGTATTTTCTAATCTTCCACATGCTGATGGATGACTAAGGGTGTTTGGCCTGCATGTCGCTTTAGATTTGTACCTCTGTGAAATCATGAACCACAGAAATGCTTCTACAGGCTCAAGCGCTGCTTTATAAAGCAAAACATGTAAATTAGTTTTTGTTTATGAGAATTTCTCAGGGTACCAATAATTGTGCCATATTGCTTTTTGAGAAAAACATTTTTGAGTGTATATATTGTCCCTGTCATATCCAAGCCTTGTGCCTCCATTTATTTCATCTTTTATTATTTTACATGATCTGAAAACACCAGCTGCCCTTTACATTGTGTGAACATTTCATGATGAGTATATCAAAAGATTGGAATAAAATCTCCGTACATTGACTTACATTAAAGTTAAGAATGTTTTTTTTTCATTCTCCTACAAAACTACCATTTCAGAGATACAATGTTTTGTTATGACAGTGACGATACATATCAGTGGTTCCCCTGAGGGCCCACTGGACGGTTCATATTTTTGCTCTATCTCCCATATGTTACCAGTTGGGATCAAGCAAAAATGTGAACCATCTGGTGGACCCTGAGGACCAGTTTGAGAACCACTAATATAAATGACTGAAAAGTCATAATGAAGTGATTGCATATGCCAACATACTTAAATAGATGAATGAGATGAATGAATGCAAAAATGGAGCATGTAGCGGATAAATCTTTCACTCACCATCATAAGCCGGCGCTGCATCTTCACAGCATTGGGGACGAGGTTGCCGTTGTCCGCAGACTTGTAGGAGACATAGAGCCGAAGGGCAATACCAAAGTAGCAGGAGATAATGATGATGGCTGGAATGGCCAGGTTCATGGAAAACATGCTGACGACGAAGGACGGGCTGTGCTCCTTCATCTCGCCCCAGGCCAACGTGCAGGACAGGCCGAATGGCTCTGGGCCGTACCTGCCCCAGCCCAGCAAAGGGAAAAGAGCCCATAACAGAGCGTACAGCCACGTGCCTGCCAGCAGCACATGCACTCTCCTCTTACTGATCTTCTCCTCTGAACACAAACAAACAGATGGGGAAGGAGAGCATGTGGAGTGAAGAGTTAAAGGCAGAACTACACTGAAAACTCATGTGAATGACTTCACCTCATGCTAAGCAATTTTTATCAGAAGTGTGCTATAGGCTTTTCTTTTATAAGAGTGGCTGCTTTGCATGAATGCTCCAGAAAACTAAATATTATGCCAGCTGCCATGGGCACGCCACCTCTCATGAGTGTAGAAGCTTTGTTATGCAAATGGACATTCGAAGAGGCTCATAGAAGGCGCACACCCCCAGTAGAAAGAGACTTGTTTGCGTTGTTGTTGGTTGGTTGGAAGATGTGTTACTTGTGCTGTTCTGTGTTGGGTTGTGGGCAGGGATATGGGTGAGGGTGAGGGCTGAGGGTGTAGAGTGCTGATTTTAGAATTTAACTGTTAAAAATAATAATAATAAAACTTTCCAAACTCTGTCATGCTTCTGCTTTGCGGGCAGTCGCTCAAACACACACAGGTTGACATGCAGAGTGCAAAAAAGTGTATGCAGAGATAAAGACCAGTTCTGAGCCCCAAAGCAGCCTAATACTGTTTTAAAACTTAATAATGAAGCTTTATCAACTGTTATATCTCAGGCACAGAGTGTGTTATAGTGTTAAATCTTCTTAAAACTCTGTGACTGTGGGCATGACATAATGGGTTAACACACCACACATCAACAGTCTGGTCACTGCTCAGCTAATTTGCATTAAGTTTGTCCAGAATGAGAGAGCAGAGTGATGATATGCATTAGTGGTCTGATGTGTCAGTTAGATACTGTTGTCTCTTGCCTCATTATAGCGCTTTGACACATTCTGTGTGATGTAAAGTAGAATTAAAAATTAATAAAAAAACTAAATGGAAAAAGGGAAATCATTTTGGATTTGTCACATCACATATACTCTGCTTAAAACTTCAGCACCATCAACTTAAAACACCTTCATGCATTCCCGGGTGTGGGTTTGTTAGCTGTGTTGAGTGCCTACCATGGGTTAGAGTCCTATGCTTAAAAGTGGCCTCCCTGCTGTTTTGCTTGGTTTTCAAGTGGCTCTCTGCTGTGTTCAAAATAAACGAGCATGTTCTGAACAGAAATTATGGCCTCTTCTGACTCATCTTTCATACAGTGCTGTTCAGAAAACAGAAGAATAATTCTGCTTTTTTAAAATCGTGATTTAAAACATGTAGAAAGCTAAATGGATAAACATATGTAATTTAATGTAATATAGGTCACTGAAAGACATATTCACCTAAAGGTCAACCTGTTAGATGGTGTTACATAAACTCAAGCAATATGTTCGTTTCATTAGCACTATGTCAACAGGATCTTTACTGTGATAACAAATTAGTTCAAGAGATACTACAATACGGTGCAAAAGTCAAAGACCACCATTCCTTGATTCACTCTCCAGTCAAAACAGCCATTAAGCACAAGTATTCACTGTACAGTAGATATTTTCTGAGGAGATTAGACCACCAAACTGTTACCATCAGATAATCAGTACTTAAAGCTTCTATCTTCGAGATAGAGGAGAAAATCAAACTCTTGCTTCAGATCTGAAAAATCTACAGGTGTTTCTGTTCATCCTTCCACTGTGAGAAGACAACTCAAAGGAAATGAAAGGATATGTAGCTGTCAAGAAGCCATTATTGAAAAATTAAAATAGACAAAAAAAAATTGCAAATAAAATAAAGAAGCTGTCAGTGTTATCAAAACAATGGACTCACCACACCAAAAGCAGGCCTCAACATCACTGAAATGTGTTTGGGATTACTTGGATTGTAAGAAGAAGAAAATGCAACCAACTTCTAAGACTGAACTTTGAAACTGTGGAAAAAAAACTCTGTAGATTTATTTGAAAAAGTGAATGAAAAAAAGAGTTCTCTGTTAAATATACACTCACTGAGCACTTCATTAGGAACTCCTGTACAACTACTTGTTCATGCAATTGTCTAATCAAAACAGTGCATCCAGTGAGCAGCTATATATATACATATATATATATATATGAAAAATGATCATAACAGAAGACTAAAACCACCATGGAGACGGATGGAGACACAGGCTTTTTTTACTTCTATTATGTTGTTTATTTGGGTTGGGCAATGTAAAAGAAAGCACTTATGACAATATGCCAGTTCAGATGATTCTAATAGCACTCGCACTGCCTATCCAGCATTCGCTACATAAATGCTGGAAGAATTCAAGTGACAGCATAAGCTATTTTCACAAATATGTTCTATAATACCATGCTTCCCTCTTGGCATTTTAGAGAAAGAGAGAAAATGAAGTCAAATGTCAACTGATGTTTGTCAGGATTTCCCCAACATAGAGCAAATCAGAGCTCTTCATGTTCCCTATAGAACAAAATTAGATTCCTAAGCAAGACAGGGCAAAACTGTTTTGCTGCACATGGGATTTTAGTATTGTATAAATTGTATAAAAGGCATACTGGTTGGAGAGGCACTGAAAAAAACAAATAGAAGTACTGTTTAATATTTTGAGTCACTAAATTGATGAATTAGTTATTAGTTTAAAATCAGCAGAATTATCATTCCTCCAGATGCTTCTCTATGAAAGAGTGTGACACTCTTTTGTTTCCAGAGGGTGATGCGTATGCATGGAAGTCATCAGGATATGAGCTATACTATATCTTTTGTCAGGTGACAGAGACTGGAGACTGGCTCTTGCATATAGTATTCAGTCTGTGATGTTAAGGGGAGCACCATTACTCAAAGCATCATCGTTCACTTCAGTTCAGTTGTTAGATTTAGCAGTTTATGTTGGTAAAATAACTGTACACTTTAGAAGCACACTAATCTACGTCAAGGTAAGTGTCTCTGGTAAGCCAAATCAGTTCAGACTGTGGGAAACATGCATGTGATCTGATTAACCATGGACGACTCCTACAAAAAGGAGTCAACGGTAAAACAGAAAGGTGAATCATTACATGCATGTTCATATTTAATATCATTTTTGATTACGAGATCACGATTTGATTTGATCTTCAGTCTTTTCAGATGGGATGCACCCAGTAGTTCTAGTAGTGGACAATATACAAGATTCATCTGGTACACGGGCTGAAATTGTAATGATTTGCAGTCTAAGTTAGTCCAGTTTGTTGTGAAAGGAACAGACATCAGAATATAATATTCACATTTTTTACAGTGGCTCAGAAAAGCCACTGTGTGGTTTACATGCACTGTCCTTTCTCTCATTAGGGTTAAAAAGCAGCATTGACATCTGTCTTATACATTTTTAATTTCTGTTTTTACTGTTTCAGCAAATAAAAATATTTCAGGTTTAGCTGTTAAACATGTTTCTTTTTAAAAGTTAAGGGACATCCCATTATAATACGTCATTGTTAATCTACAAAATAGGTTTAAGTAAGTATCCAAAATGGTATTTGAAAAAAACATACATAAATACACTATACTGTGATATATATGGAAACTGTCAGTAATCCTCATTATACCATGATATGAATTGGATATGATATGAATTTAGCTATACTGCCCACTACTAGTGGTTTCTATGAAAAACAGCAAGTAGTGAGTAGTGTATCAGCAAATTTTGCTATGCTATTTCGAACTTTCATATTTTCAGTTCGTCGATAATACTTTGAAATCGCTACACCCTTAATAACCACAGTATCAAAGTTCCCTTTCAGCTGTACTGCTTCTCAAAGCACGAGAAGGCCTTTGATCATGGTAAGAGGCCAAGAGAAGGCTTACATGATCAAACGAAAGCAACAGAATTTTTTGTTGTCTTGCCGTGTTCAGCCTGCCTAAATGAAGCTCAGTCACTGTCCTTTAGTCCTGAAAATACCCTAAGATATCCACCAACCCACTTAAAATAAAAAAAAACAAAACCACAAACCATTCTATAATACAGATACCAAAAAGTAATCTCCTTTGTGGGCCTATCAGGAAGGTGATAACAATAAGCTTGATGTTTAGGAGTATGCCATTGGGTTTTTGCAAAAACTAGACAATCTTTTTCTATAAACATCTTACAGCTTTGGGCTATTTTTTAAATGTCCTGGCAGTCTATTCTGTCAGTATTCTCAGAAAAGCTATTCTGGAGCCCATCTCGCAAATATTTACTGCCAGCAGCCACTTTGGTGCTCAGCAGGGAGCTGGCTAATCTGGAACCGACAATTCACTGGAAGAAGCTTCAGGGGACCGCAGAGCACAACCTGAGACAATTTAGTTTTTTTTTCTAATTAATTTGAGAAGTATTTGAGCTAGTTTTATATATTCACACAAAAATCCTACACATCTCCGCTACAAATGAAAACATTTGTGTACCTGCCATTTGTGAACAATTCAGACAAAAGCAGTGCGGGTGAAAATGCTACACTTTACCTCATAGGCAGGGTTAATTGTGACAGACTGAGGGGCTAGCTGTCACAATCACTACAAAGTCCGGTAAATCAGTGCTAAAACAATTAATTCACCATAGTTCAAACAACATGTTGTTTGAACCAAATAAACTTTTCAAGCTAAATATATAAAAAATATATGTGTCAAAGTTGGCAAATTTATTTTTGACCACAAAGTAGAACAGCAAATAGTAGCACAATAAAACTGACATTTTACTTAAAAGACAGCTACAGCACATTATTGATGAATCTGTGCATGGAAACATTCAAAAAATGAACTGTTTTAAAATTATATGGGAGAATATAGACTTCTCTCATTGTTTACACAGTGTTAAAACTAACCCTGCCATCTGGAGGCTGTATTTTGGTCTGGCTACCTGTCACTGTGAGTTGTTTATATGGTTTAAAATGGTGCTACATAACAGCCACCAAGATGGTGATTAAATGAACAGGCTTGGATTCTAGAGAAGATGACAAAAAGCATGTTCTACTTTACGTGTTTAACTACAAAGAAAATCCATGTTACATTTCACCCTGTGCAAGGCTGTACCCCACACTCCCCTATTATATAATGAAACTGCAGTAAATTAAATGCTATATGCTTGAAATTACTGGAATTATGATCATTACAGTCTTCTCAGTGGTGAAAACTATTTATGCGTCAGTCCAATTTGCAGTTGGAAATGGGTAACCTGAGATTTTGTGACCTAAAGATGTAATCTAATGGCACTCTCGTCTTTTATGACAAGCATTATGTTGATTGCACCTTTGATCCTCTGATGGCCTTTATTCCATGGGGTAAAAAGCAGATAAATATAAAACTGGTCTAAAAATGGAAGCTGGTGGTACTCACTGGGTGATTGTAAAGTCAGGGACACAGAGAAGCGTACTATAGCCATGACGGTCAGGGTGGCCACACTGGCTACTCCGAAGAAGAATCCCATCAAGCCGTAGTAGATACAGGTGGCATTGCCTCCTAACCAGGCGTGGTTCCAAGATGATGCCACAGCCAGAGGGTACATGGAGATGGCAGCCCCGAGGTCCGTCACTGCCAGGTTCACGCTCAGAAGCTCTGGGGGCTTCATATGGGAAGACCTCTTGTATGCCATAACTAGGACCAGCAGGTTCCCCGCAACTGACAAAATTGCTAAACATGACAAGAAGAGAAACACAACGAGAGCCTTTTTAGTAAAACATACGTGATAGAAATACATTAAACCACATCTTTTTTCAGGCAATTTTAATGAGTTACTGAATATGATGTAATTGAAGTCACATTCATCAGCCTTTAGGATATTTGATATAGGACAGAGGGCATTCTTTGTTGATTGTAGAGAGGAAAACAACTGCCACTGTAAAAGGCAATAAAATGGAATCTCTACTATATACGTATCAGAAAATATATCGCTGCTATTGGAAGAAAACCTCATTGTGGCATGCGCCCGCCCCCCGGGCCCCGACGATGACGGCCGCGAGAGCCGGCAGGAAGGCGGGGCCCGAACACACAGCGGCGACGAACCTTGGCGAAGACAGCAGGGAGAGAGCCTCGAGTGGGGGAGGGGCGGAGCGCAAAGCCCGAGCTCCGCCGACGAACGCGGGTCACGCGAGTGACGGCGGGGGGAGGAGGAGGACGACGACGGTGCCGGCCACAAGAGGCACGAGCGAGTCCCGAGGTCCGCCGCCCGAGCCCCGCCCCCTGGTACGCAGCGAGGCCGCTTCACTACACCTCACGTTCGACCCAGGCCCCCGAGCTGCAAGCTGGGGGCGGTGACGGGGAGGCGGAGCAGCGAGCTCTCGTTCCCTCTCGGCTCAGGTGCTCACACTGCCATTAATGAGAGCCAGCTGATGCTGATCTGGCTGGCAGAGTGAGCGCCTTTTAAAAGAGCTGAGGGGGAACAGAGCGAGAGAAAGAGGAGGCCGAGCAGCAGCAGCAGCAGCAGCAGCAGTGACTGAAGAGCTGAAAAGCTTGAAGAAGACTGAAAAGTCTAGCTGGCTGACGCCACTGAAAAGTGGCCATGCAGCGTACCTTTTGGTTAGGTTTTGCTTTGTGTTTATTTTGTGTGAGTAAAAGATATGGCTGCTGCGACACTGCTATTTTAAAGTTTTTGACATAATATGAAAATGTCTGTTGCCCTTTACATTGTGTGTAAATTTCATGAGGAACAGACCATAAGAAACGGCACAAAATTACTTAGAAAAAAATCTGGTTCCATTGACTTACATTGAAAGTAAAGTAGGTTTTTTCCTTCTCCTGTAAAGGTGTCATTTTGGAGATGTGAAGTTTTCTTCCGACAACAGCGATATGTTTCCCATTAATGTATCATTCCTATTTATATTGTTTGTTTTTGTCTTTTAATATTGACATTAAAAAGCATTAGATATCATGTCAGTATGATAACTCTAACTACTACTTTTGTTGAATTTAAACTGCTGTATATGAGCTATAGTCTCCTGTTGTTGGCCCCTCAGACTTGACAGATCAGATCTGTACCCCTGTTTAAGATATATACTATTTCATGTTTGTTGTATAATGGAAGTAAATGTATGTGCATATTATAATTGTTGGAACAAAACCTTGTATCTCTAATTTGGTAACTTTTCAGGAGAGAAGTACAGATAATTTTGGTTTATGTTTACTGGTCCATTCATCATGAAATTATAAATTACAAGGTTTTAGTCTGAAAGTGATGATTTTTGAATTATTAGTTGCCATTTGTTGTTACTGGCATTGCATCGTTTGTTTGAGGCATTTAATTTGTGTCTGTAATAAAAGCCATTGTGTAAATCATGCCTCACTCATTTTTTTAACCATATTAACCATATTATTTAACCAATTTTTGTAAATATATAGAATTTGCACAAGTCACCTTCTACGAAGTTAAGAATAATTAAGATTAATGGTACCACAGTTGTGAGTCTTTGTGAGTTTCTGTTTATTCTGAATAACTGTAATATATCTTTTAATACAACTTAATGCTCTGTCACTTCTCTATATCAGAGATGAAACAACAGGGGAAAGCAAAGCAATATTTGGCAATTAACTAAAATGCACATACATATTTATTATAAACTGTCTGCATGTGTGATGTGACCTGGAGACAAAAATTCACCATACATCAGAACAATAACTGAGAAACCCAAGAATTTATCCATTTTCATTTTCAGATGGGTCTTCTAAGGATTAAAATAATTCTGCATATCTTTTGCTGCAAACAGCTTAGATAAGCTTTTCATGGGCTTTTATCATAATGAGCTTTTATAGACTTTTATTGTGAGCAAGCACTTTTCAAATTAGTGTGTTCCAGTATACTTTCTAAAGGGTTAATTTCATGGAAAAACAAATTTTCCATTTTTTCTTAAATAATGTGTGTAAGCATTGTTCAAGTTTCAAATGTATCAAAGCAAAAAACCAAAGCATATATGTATATTCACCCATTCAGCCTACAGCAGTTTCACCAATTCACCGAAGTTATAAGGAGTGTGTTAGGTAAGAGCCAGTCAGAAGGCAAACATCTCCCTGTTGTGTGTTGCTGTGCCCAGTGCCTTGAACACAGCAGCTCGTTCAAGCAGCTATGTTCCCCACGTTTTTACTTCATGCACCCTAACAGACATGGACACGTGGAGTGTTTCAGCCTGGGGTCTTAGCTACTAAACTATCAGGGAAATCCAGGGACATGCAAGCAGCAACGTTAAAGACTGTAATTAGCGCTGAATGCTGTCATATTTACAAGCACAACCTCACCGTAACACCAGAGCAATGTGAAAATGCAAAAGCTATCCTTGATGCCCTTGAGGAGTATTTTCCTTTGCCAAAGAAAGTCATCTATGAATGACACAGGAAGGTGAGCCAATTGACAGTTTCGTCACACACTTGCGTGAAAAGCCAGCTTCACACAAATATGGCAAACTCAAAGATGATCTAATCAAAGACAAAATAGTGCTAGGCATTTCACACGAAAACACACAGAGGTGGCTGCTAGGAGAGCTGACACTGAATAGTGCTACTGAGGCATGCAGAATGGCAGAATTGATTGGTAAGAGACTGAAATCCATGTTTCTTAAAGGACCACATTTAGATTGTGTAAATGCAGTACAGCAGCAGTTGGCCAAGCTGTCGTCAGCCACAGATCTCACGAGTGTCCAGTGCCGTTACTGTGGCATCGACCACAGAGCTGGGAAGGAACACTGCCTGGCATTCAGCAAAAATGTAAGGCATGCGGCACTAACAACCATTTTGCCAGCGTCGGTCTGAAAACCAAAAGAAAGCAGACAGAGGACAAATTATATGCAGTTGACAACACTGAGCTGGATTTAAACTATGCTTTGAGTAAAGAGCTATATACCACTGAGTACATTGGTTCGATGCCAGCAAAAGGTGGAAGTGGTATGTCAAATTACAAATCCAGCACAAATCTCAGCAGTGCCAGCTAGACACCGGCGCCACATGTGATGTGATGAGCTTTAAAGATAAAACAAGACTTGCACCCAAAGCTCCATTATTTCCAAGCAACACTAAACTGAAGCCATACTCTAGTCAGCTTGTGCCCTTGCTTGGAGTCATTGCAACAGTATTTATCGTGCATGGCAAATCACACTGATTGGAGTTTGAAATAGTTGAGACAGACCAACAGCCACTCCTCTCTGGGTCCACATGTAAGCACTTCATTCAGTTCACAGTCCCAGAAAATTTGAATGCTTTGTCATTTACTGCCACAGAGTCCAACAATGGTGATGGGTAAGGCGATGCCTTGACCATGTATAGTATTTTCTATAGTCCAGTTGAGTCAGTCCCTAGAGATGAGCACTAAGTGCCCCTAGAAATGTCCCAGTGGCCATGAAGACTGCTGTTAAAGCGCAGCTTAATCAGTATCAGGCAGATGGCTATTTAGCTCCAGTGACAGAGCCGACTGAGTGGATCAGCAATATAGTCTTTGAAACGAGACCAGCTGCAACTTTGCATTGACCCTAGGCATCTCAGTAAGGCTCTCTGCTGCTCACATTACATCATGCTCACTCTTGAAGATGTGCTACATACACTCCCCAAAGCCGAAGTCTTCACACTGGTGGACACCAGAGATGCATTTCTTCAGTGATACTTGATAAACTTGATAAAAAAGTAGCCTTTGACCATCTTCTGGGCGCCTTTGGGGAGAAAGCGATGGCTCAAGCTCCCTTTTGGTGAGATATCCCAGAGAAAGCAGCATGAGCTGTTGACAGACCTCAATAATGTGGAGCCTATTGCAGATGACATCCTAGTTGTCGTGTATGGTGATTCAGAGATGGAAGCAGGCCATGACCATGATGCCAAGATGCTTGCCCTCATGAACCGCTGAAGAGAGGGCAAACTCAGTGTAAAAATGCTTCAGTTCAAAGCACCAGTGGTCTGTTTCTATGCTCTTGTCAGCAGATGGCTTAAAGGCAGACCCGAAAAAAATAAAGTCGGTGATGGACATGCCTACGTCATTAGATGCTAAGGCAGTGCAGCGGTTTGTGGGGTCTGTTACATATCTTGCCAGATTCTTGCCTGGACTATCTGAGCTGTGTGAGCCATTAAGGAGACTGACAAAGACACGGTCTGGCACTGGCTCATATAAAGCACCTTGTCACATAAGCCCCGGTCCTGCACTACTATGACTTGCCCAAGCCAGTGACTATGCAGAATGATGCCAGCCAACTTGGTCTTGGGTACTGCCTTGTGCAAGATGGCTGGCCAGTTGGGTATGCATCCAGGGCCCTTTATACATCAGAACAGAACCATGCACAAATTGAGAAGGAATTCCTTAGCATTATATTTGCATGCCAGCACTTTTACCATTACCTAAATGACTGTGCCAAAGTCACAGCAGAAGCTGACCACAAACAGCTGATAGCCATTTTCTCCAAGCCTCTTCTACATGCACCAAAGCACCTCCAGAGCATGCTCTTGGCTCTACAGAATTACAACCTGACATGGAGCTAGAGCAGCATGACTTACAGCATATCCTCCGGTCTGACTATCTTAATGTGACTGACCGGTGCCTGCTTAGCATCACACAGAGCCCACACAGAACAAGACACACACAGAAGCAACAGCTTAAAACTGTTGGTCTGAGTGGCTGGCCTGAGTGCCACAAGCTTGGACACCAGAGAACTTTGGTTATGCAAAGA